GAATGTGTAGCAGCATCTCACGTGGCGCAATGTACCAACTATCCCCCCTAAAAAGAACCTGGGAAAGAACCTCACCGGCCAATTCGCAGGCAGTGGAAGCCCTCGTCACTGCCGACCTCTGCACCAAGAACACACGACCGTCCACTGAGGAGCCCCGACCTGTAAAGAAGCCATGTTCCACCACGCCAATGGTGCTCTTCCTGAAAAAATGCCCAACCGTGCGGTGTGCGCACTGGTTGACGCATGCGTGCGCTAGCTTTCACGTGCGCCAACTCGCTTGGAGGTGGGGGGTTTTCAGGTGTCCGTCTCGGCCCACCAATCTCAACTCAGCGAGATCGGCGCTGAGCCGCCTCGCGCGACCGAGGCGAGCCGTGCATGGCGTGCATTGCACGGTCTCTGCGAGGTGTGTGGGGGGGGATGAAACCCCGAGGGTCGGGGGGGGATGAAACCGGGATCGGGTGAGTTGAAGTCCCACTCGATCAGTGACCCCAGTGCATCGCGTAAGGAACCAGGGGCCCTTCGGAACTGGTCTATGGTTTTAGTCAATCTGGAACCACTGGGACTCCCAGCGAGAGCAGTGGTTTGCCTGGATGCGCTGGGGACACTATGCGGAGCGGCGTTGAATTTGAGGTGGATCCTCGCCCTAAGCTTTCCATGGCAAGGGTCGGAGCCGACCTCTTGGCAGGGGTCCGGCACGTGGATGAAAGAGATGACTTGGTCGAGCCAAGCAGTGGCTCACTTGGATGCCATGTGCCATCTACTCTGATCACACTGATGTAGAGGAGTGGAGTGGGGTGGAATCACGCTGGAAGTCCAAGACTATCCAAGACTCCTTTAGAATGGTCTTTGCTTAGACCCCAAAAGGTACTTCCTTTACTCGCTTTACTTCAATGGAGCACAAAAAGTCGAGCTGGACTTCTTAGCAAACATACCACCTGAAAGTGTGTATACCTACTAGTGTTCCAAAAAAGGCGTTGACATTTGCTTTCTCGAACTCATCCTCCACAGATCACTCTGGTTCTGTGGCCAGGCTTGGCTTTTCACCCGGTGAGCTTCAAGGCGTTGAAGGTCTGTGGCCCGTGTGCTTCCATGTTCCTTCGGCTCGAAGTCCGTGAAGAAACGCGCAGCAGGCGACCTGCTAAACACTGAACCTTGCAGTCGGGGTCCTGGCCTACCTCCGTATCAAAGATGCTTAGGGTGGGTGCCAGTGTCTAACCACTTTCTGAGGATCCGGTTGGAGCCCTAGGGCTTCCACCCGCCCATACCCGCCCATACCCATACCCATACCCTGGGTCTCCGCGCAGCTGCTTCGCGGCGCTCTGGGGATCCTGCAGTGGTCGGAAGCTGCGGTGGACAGCCGGAAGAATGGCCTCCACCCCTCCTGAAACCTACTACGATGGCCTGAAACCTACTAGTGATGGTCTCCAACCTACTAGCAATGAATGGCCTCCAGTAGCGATGGCCTCCACTCTAGTAGTGATGGTCTCCACCCTAGTAGCTGCAGCTATGACCTCCAAGCTAAGAGCGATGGCCCCCAACCTAAGAGCGATGAAGAAAGATGTTTCGTCGGCCAAGGGAAACCAAAGGACGACCCTGGACCGGGTCGTGACAACATTCCTGTCTCCTGGGGAAGTCTAACCAGCGAGGCGACGCGGACCTCTCCTTGATGGACTTTTTAAAGTGCAAGTCCAGGATGTAGTTTCCTGCAACATGTGTGCATCGTCAAAGTTCTGGAACATCCGGGTGTCTTCCCCGGAAGAAGAACTACAATGCTTTTTACCACTCGTCCAACAAACCGAATTGCGTGCAGCAACCGCTCTCACAGCCTGCAAGACTTTTTCAAGCTCCTCCTCCGCACTCTCTCTCTCTATATATATATTACCCTAGGATTCAACTGCGTAGTTTAACTTAGCACTCCGCTAATGCGAAGTTTACTTGGAGATGTTCAATGTGTCCTGTAGGTTCGAGTTCGAGAGCGTGATCGGCCGTGATCGGCAGTGGCTCGGAAGTCCACACATGAACACTTATGTTCTAGAGGTTGATATGACAAAACATGCACCACATCAGTGGCGTGAACTTGTGGATGGATTGGGGTGAAACCATATGTTGGTGAATTTCTATCGTGGCGTGATTGAGCGTGATCATGAAAGTAAACTTAGCATTCCGCTAATGCAAAGTTTGACTGCGTGATTGGGCAAAGGCGAAGTTAAACTTCGTACTGGGATTTGTAGGGTATATATATGTATATATACCGAATGACCCCACTTTCCGGACCGGCAAACCCTACATTCTAACAGTCAGTGTTAGAATGTGCAGAAAACCTTTTGGAATGCGTCTCTCCATGGTTCAGCAACACATGAGGACCAGAAAAATGAATGCAAGGTGAAGGGAACATTAAAGGATTGAAGGAATGTTCTAAAGCCACATTCTAACTTTGGGTCTCGGCCACCCGGGTCCAAGAGCTGCTAACTCTCGATGCCAAAATTTTGGAAACGGCGCCCAGCCAGGACACCCATCGGATGGTGGTATATCATAAGATATCATAAGATTAAACTTAAAAAAAGGAACTGCATGACAATTAACTGTATGACAATTAAACTTAAAAAAATGAACTGTAAGTTTAAGTAAACTTATTGATCTAAGATCTATCAACACCGTTCCTCTCCCCTCTCCCGTGACCGGCCGTTGTCGGTGACCGCCGGCTGGTCGCCGTCGCGCTTGTTGTTCGCGGCGGAACCTCGCTTCCGCCGGGGAAACCACCGCCGCGAGACGACGCGGAACCGGAAGACCTGGATCTTCCAGCCCTACCCAGTGCATCCCAGGCAAACCACGAGTAGTAAGGAACCAGGGGCCCTTCGGAACCGGTCTTTGGTTTTACTCAAACTGGAACCACTGGGACTCCCAGCGAGAGCAGTGGTTTGCCTGGATGCCCTGGGGCTAGGAATCCAAACCCCAACCAACACACACTTCGGTGCTCTAACTTCGGTGCTTGCTGCGATCGAAATGGGAAATCTTTGGGGTGATCTTTGGGGGGGGCTGCCCTAAGAACCTCTGTGCCCTCAAATGGGGAAAGGTTTGGTTCGGGTCCGGACCCCTATGGGAGAGTTCGTTCGGATTCTTGCGCAACTACGACCTGACTTCACAGGTGCTTTTGCGACACCCCGAATCCACCCCTGGGAGCCGTCCCTACGCTGGTGTTTGGCGCCGTTGGAAGATCCAGTAGGCTGGATGAAGGGGGCATCAAACGTTTCATATCGGGGTTAAGCCTCCCCATGTCATAGAGAAACATACACTTTCCATCCCCTTTCAAAGACCATGGGGATGGCACCGAAGAGGCAATTGGACGAAAGGATCATCTGGACGAAGGGGCATCCATTCGGCATCCCTCCCAGACTTGACGTTCAACGCACGATGTAATGATGTGTGAAAGTTGGGGTCACGACAAAATATAGATATAAGAGAACAAGCCCCAATGCACTAACCTGGAACAAGAATATGTTCAATCTAGCAGACCCCATATAAGAGGGGATAAAACAAAACACAAAAAACTCCTCCTCTAGGTAGTATGCCATACTATTCACCTCACTCTACGCCCTTTTGCATCACAACATACATATACTGCTCTTTTGACAGGGAGGACCCTCATAGATGGGAGAGCTGCTGTCCTCTGAGGTCCTCTGCAGGAGGCTCAGGGAATGAAGAACAGGATCGGTACAGGAAAATCTCGTGGAGGGGGGGGGAGCCACCCGAAAATTTGGTACGGTATCTCTCACACACGCAGCAGCTGTTCATCTCACCTTGGAATGTCTAGACTTGAGACCTAACAAGTCTGGTATGAGGCCAAATCATTGGAACTTTGTTTAATGCGCTCATTACGTTTTGCTTATGAAAACCAACACAACCAAATTTATGAAATCACCAAAAAAATAGATCATAGCCCTGCGAACAAAACATATATTTGTCAACACCATGTTTCATAAAGTGTTGATAACGTGTTCATATGTGTTATTTGTTCATATGTTTGTTGAAAAAAAGAACATAATGTGAAATGAAAAATCCTGAAAAGTGGTATGACAAGTTTATTTTTAACGAAAATTGTACGGTATGATGTGTTTGCGCCAGAATTTATGAAATGTGAACGACATTTTGGAGAAAAAGAATGTGTCTATAACATCCAGCGTAATGGGTGTTGTACAATGTTCATTTTAAATATATATATATATATGTGTGTGTTGAAGTGGTTTGTACCAACTTGCTGGATGTCCGTCTAGACGTCTTGACATGGGGGCGACAAGTGATGGCCCTTCTTAAATATTGCAGAGTTGGAAGATCCGCTAAGAAAAAGAACTCCAAAACAACATGGAACTGCACAATTCCTCATGGAATTGCACATCATGATGTATCATGTAGCTGTCCCAATCTATTTCGTCCAACTGCCTCAAAAAAACCCAACTGCCTACGCTCGCGCAGTCCGTCTCTCTGCGCTGAGCCGGCGACCCAGGCGGAGGACGGGCTCACAGCCTTCCAGCGCTGGCAGCGCCTTGATCACCCTGGACGCCCATCGGCGCGGACTCGGCGCGGACTCGGCACTGTCGGCTGCCAGGCTGTCAACTCGGTGGAGAAAGGACTAGTGATCCCAAATGAGGGAGCTGTTCCTTTTGCGGAGCCTTCTACCAACACCCGACCAGCACCAGGTCAGCAATTGAGACCTCCAACAGGGCCCAACAACCCTCCATTTTGCAAAAACCTGTAGAGTCGGGTGCTGGTATACCAGAGTTCCTACATTCCCCTATTGAAGCAAGGGCCGTCGGCCAGGCCTCGCCTGGCGGTGTGCTCGTGGCAAAAGGGCACCACCTCCACAGGCACCGGGAAATGAGGCCCCAAACCTCCACAGGCACGGTGCCGAAGCCAAAGGGAACTGGGAGGGTGAGGGAAAAAAGTGGGAAGAGAGGTCGAGAGTGGAAGTTGAAGGGAGGAGGGGGTTTGGTTGCATCCTGAAGTATGAAGCTCGGCGTTTGCCAGTGGAAGAATGGGCCATGAAATTAGGCCCGACAAGGCCCGACACTCATTTGCCCCATGAAATTACAACGACGCAAGTTGCTCAGGATCAGGCGAGATTTACTATCTAAGGCACCAGGAGGTAGGAGTCAACTGAACCCGTCTGGAGTTTGGTCCTGAGTCCCAACAAAAGGCTTCTCACATCAGATCTGCTCAGGTCCCAGCTATCACACAACTTGGACTCGTCCACGATGACGACAAAGGTCTTGGCCGCGGCCTGGCAAAAGGAGATGCACAAGTTCCCTGGCAAAATCTTCCGGAATCCCTCCAGATCATAACAAGCTTGTGAAACCATTCAATGAGCCACCCTCCTTTGTACAGGAAAATGATCTTCTGAAGGACTATGGTCCACTTGCATGATTGTTGAGAGGGTCAATGCTTGAGACTTCCCATTGCACCACAAAAGAAGGCCCGTCCACCCATAGCGAGGCTCAAAACCCCCGAAACTGAGGCAAAAACGAGGCGCAACCGACGGAGACCCAGGTGTGTGGTTCCGAAGGCACAAGCACCAGTATGATCCAGTTTGGCCAAAGAACTCAAGCGCTGCGCAGCAAGCGAACATGAAGGTCGTTGGTGAGCATTTCAGGATTGTACATGGTAGGACGCAAACGTAGACTCTTGATGAATCAACCGCCCCCAAACATGGATTGAACACTCTCTTCAATATTTGGGGGAGTTGAAATATCATCAAAGGTCTATGTTCAGGAAGGTTCAGTTGAACATCTTATGAACACCTACCCGGAGAGTCCAGCCCTGACTCACTTTACCCGCTTGGTAGTGGTGGATGATCAATACCAGCTGGGGTAGTTCATGAGTCAGTGAACGGAAGTTCCGGGCTACTAAGATAGGCACTTGAGAGCGTGAAGACCGGCACTCCCTTTTCCGGGGGAACCGTCGCGGTTCCGTCGCGGCGACCGTGGTTCAGTCGCCCGCGCGCAAGGCTTGCAACACCTGGAAGTCCGGGAGTCGGGACGTCTGACGAAAGTGATTGCTGCATGATGCTGAGGCCCTCGCTACCAAGAGTGGAGGCCATCGTGGGCTCTTTTTCGAGACCTCCCCCCAAATTCCAACCAAACCCCAATTCGTGCCTTCCGGGTGTGAAAAAAAACCATCCTCCGTCGTCCGTCCTGGTTCCCACCATCCCCACCTCTTGTAGAGGTCCCAAAGGCACTGCGCTTGCCAAGACCAAATCACCCGACACCTCGTCCGATCCAAAGCCGGCCAGCTTCAGCAGCTGCAGGGCCTCAGGAGAGCCCAACAGCTCGCGGCACACGCGCGGGTTGCCTCGGCGCGAGGAACGAACCGGCGGCTCCAGCGGAGGAACCACAAGAGGCGGCCGTAATTCAACGGGGGCTCGACACGGTGCGCCATCAAACCGGATGTCTTGGAAAATGGTCGTGAGCAGTTCATGGGCCCCAACATTTGGAAGGCATCAACTGATCTGGAAGCTTTCCATTTTTTTGGACTGTCAGAGGTCCGAAAGAAATTGGTCTGGCACCTCTTCAAAACGATCAAATGCAGCGAACATGTTTGTGGGTTGAATAGAGGGAACTTCTACACCTCCCAGAATTCATCTAGTGGAGTTCACCACCGGCTTGGTATTCGGATTTCATGATCCTCCAATCTTCCATCCACGTTGGCCCATGGAGTCTCGATCAGTGTTTTTTTCTCACCACAGACGGTCCAGGATGGTTGGTTCGACAATCCACGGACGGCGCCAGTGTCTTTTCTTGCACCAACTGGGTTCGTACGTTCATAGGGAGACCCCCAGTTTGGCTCGATTTCCCTTCGGCGTGGCCATGAGCTCCACACCCAAGTCGTCCCAACTCCATCAAGACCAAGAGACTACCAGTTAGTTCTACGCGGTCTGCCTGCACCACCTGGCCCGAAGTATCCCAAAAAGCCCACCAAAACGCCAGGCGGCTCGATTTCAGGCGTCGGAAGCGCTCCTCAGAAGGCGCAGTCAAGACCTTCTCCAGCACCACCTTGACCTCGGGAGAAGCCAGACAGAAGCCACCACTCCAGCAGCACGATGCACCACCAACCAGCTGTGGAATTCTCCAAACGTCCCAAGAGTACCGTTTATGTTTATGGCCTAAACATGCCTAAACCACCTGAGAATCAATGGTTCTTTGGGCCAAAATTGACCCCATGAACCGAAAAGACACCTCCCTGCCAAGTGGCTGTGCGCAAAACCACTTCCGCCTCCTCCTCCTTCAGTCTCCTTCGCAACTTCCCTCGCAGCTGCCGTGCACGTGCGCCCGCCGGCGCGGACACCGGCGCGGGTCCCAGTCCACTGGACCCGGGATGCTCCTCCGGCAGCGCCCAGTTGAGCGCGCTCTGCGCGAAGCGAGTGAGGCGGAGAGATGGAGAACGGTCCTGACCAGTCGTCAAGGGCGGTAGTGTCAAGGAAACGAAAGGGCCAGAGTTAGGCTTTCAGCTTGTGAGTTGGTGCACCAGATCACAACATGAAGGGAAGCCACAGGGTGTCCAGCCTCCCTGAGCCTCCCTCGGTGACCCGAAAAGATCCACCAGCCACGCCAGTTCCACTCCGTAAACCAACGCCAGAAGCACCGTACACCACCGTCACACGACGTGAACATCAATTCCTTCCGCTGGTAAATGGCGATGTCCATTGTGCTTTGACAGAAATGGGTGGTAAAATGGCGGTAAACATGGTAAACCCCAAACCCTCGGGTGGAGAAGTGACGAACGCCGAGAAACCTTCAAGAAGATGCACAGCTCCTCGTTGCTCCTGACATTTCGGTGACGGATTCGGCGCGCGAGAACCCGCCTGCGGCGGCGTCCAATTCGGCGCCCAAAAACCGCTCTGTCTTGGAGGATTCACCCACCAGGACCGTTTGGAACGCACCAAACCAGTATTACCGATGTATCACCAGGCAGGCGACGGAGACGAAAACACCCCAAACCTGCTTGGGATAACCTGCGGAGGAGCAAATACCGACATTCAAGTGACCTCTCCGGAGTCTCTGTTTGTGACCGTTTAACATTTTGCTGGCCTATTCATGCCTATTCGACCTGTGACATCCTGGCATCTCAAGGATGGTCACGAACTGAAGCACGAGTCATGATTCTTAGCGGGACTGTGCCGTATGAGTCATGTCTGAGTCATGTCTCCTTTCCTTTTCACCACACACCAGCCTAAGCCACCAATCAAGCCACCACAGCCCACCTGCTGAGTGGTGCCCCACACCGTCACTCCTGATCTCGCTGGAAGAACTGAGCATCTTCTTCACCACGAACGCCGCCACGAGCGCACTCCAAGGGCCGCACACGAAGCATGGCACCTTCTGCGCCACGATCCGCTCCGCCGCCTCGATCGGAACCGACCGACCGCGACCCGGTCCCCCCAGGTCCCCCTCGGTCGTCCCGAACTGGGAAGGCCCATAGCCGTCGATGCTGGAGGAAGATTACCAAGTGAAACGAAGAAGGTGACTCAGATGGGTCCGGTGATAACCATGTTGGCACACCAGTTAGCAACCCAGCTCCCACCTCTGTGACATCGGGACTAGTCTTTTGGGACGAGTACCCAAGTTAGGGATCAGTCTTTTGGAAGATACAAGTTCAAGGACCCTCCTGTCGGGGTGTCTAAGGAGATCGATCGCCTCTTAGAGGTTGCCAGGGTGTCCAAAAACCACCAGACTTGGAAGGTACTCTTGATGCATAAAATCCCCCCCGAGCCCATGGATTGTAGAACCTCTTCCTGTATGGGAGCTGGAAATGCAATCAATCCAGAGTCTACATGATGGATGCTTCTGCCCCAACTCTCACCTCAAAATGAGATTACTAGCAATGGCCTCCAACCTACTAGCAATGGCCTCCCAATCCACCCTAGTAGCGATTGCCTCCAAAATGAGCTTCTTCCCCACCTTCTCCCTGCACCTTCTCCCTAAACCCGCCTCCAAGGACGCCGTAGCAACTTTGGCCACCTGTGGCGTCATGGCGTCCTCGTCCTCGGCTTCGTCGCCGCTGTTGGCCATGGCGAAGGTATGAAGCTTCATCCCTTTGGGCGCCCGAAGATGGCGCGCCTCACCTGAGAACCATGGCGAAGAGGAGGCGAAGATCCGAGTCGAAGGACATTCTAGTCTGGTGGATCGGCAGAGTTGGAAGTCTTTGAAAAGATCTGATCTGGTAGCACCTTCATCACGCTCTTTGTCACAGACAGCCTCCAAGTTTGCGCCTGCACTAGAGTCACTACAGTAAAAATGAGTGAAACAGTGATGATCTGGCTACCACCATGAAGAATAAGAGCTCAGTCCAAGCAGCAGGCTTCATCCTCCTCTACGAGTTGGAAAATGGCACCAATCTCGAAGGATCTCAGAACGTCATTCAAGTTCCTGGAATCGATTGAATGGAGGAACTAGAAAGAACCAACTTCGCCTACAGAGCTTCGACCACCCGATGCTTCAACCACCCGATGCTACCAAATTCTCGGGAGAATGTGGCAGGCGTGAAATCCGGTTTGGCAAAGAACACTCAGACCCACTCAGGCACTCGTCGGTCCGAGTGTTGATCCTCACACCTGGGCGTTTGTACCTAAAATTCGCCATAATTGACCTATAGCAGTTGATTCGGTTCCATAAGGACATGAAATGTCTCCCGGCCAGAAAAGAACACAGATCCGAATTCGCGGACCTTTTCGTCGAAGGTGGTGGTAAGAGTCGAACACACGTCGTCTCTGGTATCCATGTACATCCATCTACCGAAGTCCGACGATACTTTGGCAGTAAAATAACGGAAGTTCCTTTTCCGGTCACCAAAAAGACCCATCATGAAGCACCAAAACGGGGCCCAGCCTACTTTGAGAGAATCACACCCTTAGCACTTGGGCTTTTTCAGTGGAACACGCGCGCTTCCAATGCTTCGGAAGCTTCGGCTCCAAACATGCCGTCGGCCCCACGTACAAGGCCGGCACCCGGACAGCGCCGCTCCCGCTCCGCGCGGCGCAGCCCGGCTCGAGGAGTTCGGTTGGGCAGGGCGGCAGCGGTGAAGAATCACTGCCCTGGCGCAAGCAGAAGGGGAAGCGCTGCTGAAAGCGACTGAGGTCATCCAGTAGAAGCAACCTGAACAGGTTAGGCGCCACAGTGTGGCGGGCGCCAGTGGCGGACGGAAAAGCCACCTTAAGCTAGGATGTAACAAAAACATGCCTCAGGCTGTTCAGAAACTGCGCACGTGCATGCTGCAGGGCGGGTTTTCTCAGGTAGCTTCCAACACCCTCAAATGGATGCGAGCCATAATAGAAAGAGAAAGAGAGAAAGAGCAACCTGCAAAACCCAAACAACCAGAAACAAGTCGTTGAAACAACACATGGCTTGCTTGGGATCCTGCCCACATAGCATCTGACTGGTCCAAACATCCAGAACTGTTTCTGAGTGAGAGAGGTAGAGAGAGCCGGAGGCAGATAGTCCCTTTTTCAGATGCCTTACCGACGCAAAGCACCCGTCTCCACGCTCCACGAGGGACGCGCGTTTGGGGGGCGGTTTCTCCACAGGTGTTGCAATGTCCGGAGTCTGTGGCCAACATGTGGGTAGTGGGTATGGCTCAAAAAAAGAAAGATCCAGGAATCTATAAGTAGTGTAGACTACTTGCCATTTGCAAGTGGGTTGGAATGTAATGTAGACTCTTGATTAATCAACACCCCATATGAAGAGGTCCATCTAAATGGGGGGTGTCATGAATCAAGAGTCTACATTACCCCATTCTTGAGCGCCATGTGGATGCCTCATGCTGGACGTCTTCTTCGCCCCGGAGGACCAAAACCGCGCACGCGCAAGTGGAGGGCGGTCAGCCGGGCAGCTGTGAAGGACGAGCGAACTGCCGTAGCAGCCCCAGAAGCTTCAGGGCAGAGGCATCCTCCAAGTTTCAAGGTGGGGAGGTGCACAGGAATACTGGGGGTAGCAAGTCCTGTACGCTGGAAACTGCAACAAACCCCAACAAGAAGACCAAACAAACCCCAACAGGAGGGAACCCTTTTCGAATCGATACCTTTAAATACTTCATCATACTCACCTTCACCCTGCAAGACACCCCTTTTCAAAACAGGCCACTGCTTCCCCCAACGGATCCCAAAGCAGCTCACCCCAACGCCGGCTCAAACGGCCGCGCGCCCCAACGGCCGCCGTTCCCGCCTTCAACGGCTCGCCCTCAGCGACGATGACCACGCGCCGGAGGTCGCACAAAGACTTCAAGCCGGTCGCGGTGGACGTGGACGTGGACGTGGCGGCGTTCCCGTCGCGGTGGAGAAGGGAATGCAAGGACCAGGAGCCAAACAAATGGCCTGGCACGGTCAGCTCCCTGAGACGATAGGTATAGGTTTCTGCAGGTGACTGGTGACAGCCGTAGAGAGTAACTGCTTGACAAGCCGGATTCAGGTTCGGTACGACTGGACTCTGGACCCTCCAACCCCCACACAACACGCTGATCAGGCCCGGTGATGCTCCTTGGTGGAAGGCCTCTCTTCCTCGCACATCCACAAAGGTGGCTGCACCTGGACTGATTTCGGATCGGAAGAGCTTCCCAAGGACATTCGGACACGACCAGGCCAGGGACCTCAGGGACCAGAGTCTTTTTGATGGCTGGTACCAGGCTGATGGAAAGAAGGAGTTGACCCACGGTCTTCGTTCGACACCGGCTGAAGGTGGACGAATTGCAGCTTGGGATCCCTGCTAGGTTGAGACCCCGGTTTTGTTGAGCTTTTACCAAGTCCTTCTTTGCGTGATTCACCTGGTACCAGCACCTCCAACAGGTCACCAATTGAAACCTGTTAGGGCCTAAGAACCCTCCAAAGGAGACCTGTTGGAAGGATGCGTTCCCCACACACATCAGGAGGGGGGTGGGCAGGGGGCATCTACAGGTCACCTCTGGTCTTCCAAATCATGGCATTGCCAGTGGCTCCGGATCAGGGCTGGGATGTTTGTTCCAAGTTGAAGATCTTCCTCTCAAAGTCCAGTCATGACTTCCCCCCCCGAGCAAGTGGTGAATCATGACTCATGACCAATTCCCGAATTACCGGCTAATGGGTAGTCCAGTCAAAACGGAAGTTCAGAAGCAAATGTCCAAATGCCTCGAGTCAAAGAGAGGACTCTCATCATGTCTCTGCAAGACAAACGGGATGACACGACCCAAAGCCCTCCTCTGACCTCGCTGGCATGAAAAGGGACACAATATATGTAAGTCGTCTCTTTGCGGTGTTTGGTCCCTTCGAAATCCTTCGAAGTGGTTCTGTGGTTCAACCAACCGAGAAAAAGGTCCCAAAACATGTTTTTGTCTCCAAAACAGTAGTGGTTTTGAAGAAAACTGCCTGCTCTCATTGGTTCTTTGCTCTATCAACTGCCCTTGCCTTATAGGATCTTATAGGTAGTCTTCACTTGATTCCAACGTTTCGACCTGAGCCAGCAGGAACTGGTCGGAACCCACCAGGGTTCAGTGGATGAACTCTCATCCACAGCCTTGGGGAGTTCGCGTTCGCCCCATCCTGGTCGTGCCTGAGATCAGTAGACAGTAGCAATAAGACGCCGAAGCCAACCAGATCTTGTGCATGCCTCCATCGGGCAAAGTGGCTTCGATCTCACTCGGAAGCAAGCACGGCCAGGCGGCATCCTCCACATCCACCGAGGACGAGCAACATGGCCCCATGGAGAATGCTCTTTGGCATGCAATTTGGGGTGCGCTTGACAGGCTGGGTCCGGAGGCGGAGGTGCTGCGCCAGGCTGGTCTTTTCTTGAACGAACTTCGGTGTTTGCCGCGATCGACATGAACCAAATGGAAAGGGTTTGGTCCGGGTCCACCCAACGTCGGTCCAAACGTCGGTCCCAAGGCGCGTCTGGGAAGAAGGATGGCGGCTTCTAGCAGTTCAAGAATGATGGTTCACCTGGTTTTGTATAGTCCCAAAATCCTGAGAACCTTTGGTAAAGACCATTGAAACATATTGAAACAAATGGGACCCTGGGAATCCCAGGCTATATCACCATGTGACCTACGACATGAGTGATCCACGACATAAGGGTCATGTTTGGCTGTTTGCAACAGGCACATCTGTGCAGCCTTTTTGCTCAACAGCAAGTGCTGTGTGTCTGTGCGCCGTCTTCCTGCAACATCTTGGCAGCATGTGTTTTGCTTTTTGGCCATCTGATTCTTGTCGCCTTGAGCCTTTGTCGCAGTGCCATCTGATTTCATACGCATGGCTTGAGGTCGTATAGTGTCCCAAAGTGTATGTCTTGGATCACTCATCATCGTCAGGAGGCTCGTGGGATTTTGATGTCCATCTTTCTTTTGGGAAAGGTAAGCCCTTGCCATGTCCAAGCGATAAATATTTTCCGTTACCCAACCGTCCTTGGTGTGACCTCTTTCTCCAAACTGCCCCTATTGCCAACGCAATCCTGCTCGCTAGGCTAAAAAAACACACCGTTTCGATAACAACTGCATTGATGTCCAGGTTCTTCCAAAGAAACAGCCCTGCTACAGGACATGTTCTCCAAGGACGTCTCCGAAAACCCAACCCCCGTCGCACGGGGTTTTCCATGCACCATCCCTCTGCCTCGCACCCAGCCTTCCACCCAGCCTTCCACCTCTTTCGCCCCGCACCGCGCCTCGACGATCTTCTCGCGGAAGTGAGCACCACCTCCGCCCTTCCTGGACCGACCGCCCGTCGACGCGCACTTCAGGACGGGGGGCGGGCGGGAGGGGCGGGGCCGACACCATCACCGAGGTAGGTTGGGGTGCGGTCGTTCCAGGTCAGGTCGTGCGCCGGTCGTGGGGTCCGGATGTCACTACAGCTGGACTCCACTCCGAAAGGGGGTTGGGGGTTGGGCCGTCCAAGTCGTAGAGGTGAAGATTCAGTCCGACACTGCTCATCTTCCTGACCAATGAAGGCCGGACCATCGCCCAAAGACATGCGAATGGCTGAGATGCGCAACACACTCATTGCAAACTGAGCAATGTTTAGTCTTAGGTTGGTCCTCTCACTGCGAAGGTTACGACGAACCAACTTCTCTTACCCAAGAATCCACACCGTCACATGGCAAGGGTTTTCAGGGTCCGACCCCTGCTCTGGACCGTCCAAGGATCCTTGGGGCAACTACCTGGAAGACTCATCTACAGTAACCAAGATGGTTGACGTCGTTCTTCTGTCACAGAGGGGGCAATCTTAATTAGCATTCCAAAACGTTGCAGGGAGCTGGTCCCAACGCTGCGGATGCTCCATCAAGTGGAATTTAGAGGGCTCCACTCGTCGCAGCTCGAGCTTGTTCACACGGTCTCTGCAAGAGTGTTCTCTCCAGTGCCCTCACACATCTGCCCATTGTGAGCATCCGCAGCTAGGGTAAAATTCAAACTGGGACTCATGTGATGCATGCAAAAGTCCCGAAAACGTCCGAAGAGGGCCTTTGGGCACCAGCGAAGCAAATGAAAGTCCTTTAAAGACAATGTTTAGAATAGTCTTGGACTCCCAGGGAAAACACAGCAAAACAACATGAAGGTTGCAGGTTCCAGTGTTTCTGGGGGCAAAAAAACAGTATCAAGTGAATTTAACAGTATCAGGGGCAAAAAAGAAGGCTCCGCCTGGAACAGGCGAAACATGCAAGCGTTCCAGCGATTCTTTCTACGAGAGTGCCCCATAGAGTCTGAAGAACACCATTTTAAAAGAATACCTTCCCTAGACTTCCAACCACTATTAAACTAATAGGCTGAATCCCGAACCAACTTAAAAAAAAAAAAAAAAAAAAAACAACAACAATTTTTTAAATATAGGCTTGGAAGTCTAGGGCCTTGAAAGATCTTGATCCGTCCATCTACTCTGCCTGGAACTAACACGGAAGTGGTGCCTGCGCCCTGTTTACTGTTTGTAGATGTTTGTAGAGTCTTATGCCATCCACGTAACCATTGTTAGTTCATGTTAGTTCCAGGGAGTGTAATCCATCTGGTTTTCGTGGCTCATCCGACCCTTGGTGGACTCTGAAGAACAGACGACTCCGGAGTCGTGAACCCGCTGTGACCGCAGCTTCTGGTGACGTCCGGTTCGCTTCGCGATGCCAGGTGAGCCCCGGTGAAGGTAGCGTCCGAGCGCTCCGTTCGTAGTAAGGCCAGGAGCCCCGGTTCGTAGCTTCTTGCTCCTAGTAGCGTTGACCATATATAATTACATTCGGAGCTTCTTGCTACTAGTAGCGATGGCCTCCTACAAACGCGATGGCCTCCACTCGTCGCAGAGCGTGCGTCCTTTACTCCTGCGCAAGACGCGCCATGCCCCCCGAGCTCGGTTTCTGGTTCCCGGTCTGCTTCCGCCGAGGCACACCAGGTTCAAGGAAGAGTCGACGGAATCAGCACCATCAATGGCCACCTGCAGCGAACGACCGCTCCGACCGCTCCGTGTCCGTTTGGGTGCGAACCTTCCTCCGTTTGGGTGCGAACCTTGCTAGTGGCCAGGAGCCCTGGAACTCGTAACGTCCGAAGACATCCAGACGGATTTGCATGGATTTGCTGTCCAGACCGGAAGAAAATCGAAACCCTGTTTTGCCGATATGCTGTCAGAGGGCCGAGCCCGCCAGCTGAATTCATCCACGGCCATCGGATGCCATCGGCCCTTCGCGCAACGAGACCCACGAGCCACCACGCTTGGATCCTTCCAAATCCGCGAAGCACAGACGAGCACAGGAGCAGCACAGGAGCACAGCGACGCGCCGAGAACGAGCGGCAGGACATGGAAGTGAAAACGAGACATGGCTTGGCCACAACGCAAGAAAGCCTAGGAAGGAAGCAGAAAGCCTGAGCGGAACTTTTTCGGACAATGATTCTTTTTAACATGAGGCTGTCTGGGTCTGCAACATCTCATTATCTCAACAAGGATATGGAGTCGACAGGGAAGTCGGTGGCAAACTGACTGTGTTCACCGTCTCTTGGAGAACAAAGGACCTCAGGTCCACTGAACCCACCCACAGCCATGGGTTTTTCTTGATCCACCCCAAACTGTCCATCACCCCGGAAGACCCAAAAAGACACCGCGAGACATGTGGTCGGGAGTCCCGGACATCCAGTTTGGGCTGTGTATCCAGCGTGGCCAGCTTGATACCTGGCAGATCCGGTGTGCAAGCTCGTGCTGATGAGCTTGCTAAATACCCTATGGTCCATGGGCTTCATACTAGTTTAAGATGTTTTTGGAATATATAGATGACCTGAGTCTAGAACTGTCCTTTACTTCGGCGGTGCTAAGAAGAGTCTTTGGAAGTCTAGGGATCAACTCCAGATTTCAGCCAGTGCTTTTCCACTGTTTCCATGGGAAAAAATGGCACCATGGAAAGATAAGTTTCAAGATGTTCCTATAAAGTTGCTTAAGAGTTCTTGGGAGCAGTGGTGAGGCCTGCAGTTGTGGCCTCCTTTTTCTGTGGAGGACACAATATTTTCTTCGCAGTCTTTTCCGAGAGTAACCCTCCATGTGGAGCATGACTCCCTGGACTCCCCCATGCGCTGGCGCCAAGTCCAAGACTTTTCGGGCCAACGCCGATGAACCACTTGTCATGGGCTGCGGGAGTTTCTGAAGGGAAAAACATCCCAACAGGAAAGAGAAACCACCCTAACCCCTGGCAATCCGATTTCCCTAGATTGTGGGGGGAAGAACAATGGGGTGCGAAACACTGCAAGAGAAGGAGAATTTGCCCTAAGAGAAGAAGAGAACCCTATAAGAATCCTTGGACCCTTTCCATCTTGAGGGCGTGGATTCTTAAGGAAGGAGAAGGTGACCTCAACCTCGACATGTGCAGTTCCACCTCAACTAAGTCCACCGAGTCAGTGACCGAAGTCGCTCAAGCTCATGGTCGAACCAGTGGACGTCTTGAAAACCACTGATGACGTACCGAACGTGAGTCATCCCCGAATGCCTGGATCCACTCACAGTGATACCCTAGGCTTCCACTCGACCGTGAAAAACATGGGAACGACCTGGCTTTTGTAGTGTAAAATCCTCCTATTGAATAAAAAAGATGCTTGGAAGCCTATAGGCCTATAGGGGTTAGGTCTTTCCCTCTGAAAGGTGTCCCACTTCCGCAGCTGCGCGTTTTTGCGCGCCCAGCTGTGCCTAGCTTCTCCGCTTGTTCTTGGGTCCGCTTGGAGGTCGGAACCTCAGGTCGAAAGCCAGATCCGAGTTTGAAGTGGCCCCTCCCAGACGTGACCGGACCCCGGTGGTCCGGTCAGGGGTCCGGACCTTCTCACCAATCCCTAGGGTTTGGTTCGGGACCAAAAGCTGTTGGGAGCGTCTGGGTGGAAAATGAACATGGAACCCTAGGGGTTCCATTAACGGAGGTTCCATGTGGGTCGGCCTGGCCGGGTCTTTTTTTCATGGAAGGCTCGAGCCCTGGAACCTTCCCAGTCCGATGGCTCAAAAACTGCTCATGGATGGATTCGCTGGTGTTGACCTGAAAAAAGGCTTGCCCGGAACTTCCGTTTGGCCTCATTCTACCCACCGGAGAGTCATGATGAACAAAAAAAAAGAACATGACTGGACTTCAGGGTTAGCTAAGATCGTGTTTTTGCTTCTCAACTCATCCAAACCTTCTTCTTCACTCCGTCGCCTTGCCGTGCCGTGCCGTCCCATCCCCCCGGGCGCCTCGCCGCTCCTCCCGGTCCATCCGCTGTCTCGGTGCCCCGAGCCGCCACGATGTCCTTCAACTCGCCGGACCGGAGCCTCGGTGGTCATCACCACGAGCGACCCGGACGTCCGGTGGACCGTGGTGGACTGTGGAGGACCGTGGTTCGAAGTCGGAGTTCACCACTGGGTCCCTCGACTCTAGAAAAGATTGAGTGAAGCTGGGTGGATTTGAGGTGGATCGGGCTCAGCAGGGCAGTCCAACAAAACCACAAATAAAAGCTGTTGAGGCACTGAGAAGCTAAAGAAGCCAAAGATGAAAAG